CAGAGGGTTGTAGGGAGATTTGCCATAATTAACATAGACGTAGAAGGGTTATTTATATCTTGTTAAGTACTGGTGTTTCCCCATGTAAATATTACAGGGTGCATGTATGCTTTTGGGCATTTCTAGTTTTTTAACTTGGTCTCCTTAGGTTTAATACTAAACTGATTTGGTAGCTAGAAACAGTAGTCTGCAGTCTTTAGCTATGCTCTGAAAGAAATTTTTGGTCACTTTGTCCCAGAGGGGGATTTTGCAGCATACCTGTAGGCCTACGAAGGAATGCTATTATGTAAAACAGCTACTAGGAGACTCCCTAATCCACCTCCAATCCCCGCATTAAGGGAAACATCCGCTTTACTGCACATGCAGTATTGAATTAGAAATCCAAGCTGCTGCCACACCTTCCCAGCCTGATGTATCATCTTTCTTTTCGAAATACTACTCAGGTTCTGTTCAGTCTCACCTGAACTAAATACTTTGGTATCTAAGAGCTTTTTATCAAAGCATTTCTTACAAGCTTTTGTATTCTGAGGAGCAAACTGAAATTTTTCAGTTGCTGTAATGGCTGATGCCATATGATGACGCAACGAAGCGCTCAGTAGCTTGTCTTTTAGCAGTTGCGTGATAGCAGCTAAACTTTTTGAAACGTTAAATCTTTAAATTTAAATGATCAAATCCTTCAGGTGTGACAGTTATGTTACACCTAATAGAGGATAAAATGCTGTAGAAAAACTGAAATGGATAAATTTTTTTGGTAACCTGTGAGATGCATCGTGGATGATGCTCTTTCCTATGGGGTCAATTCTCCTAGGGTTTACAGTGCAGTAGTACTCAGGTTAATGCAGTTGAAATGCTATTGTTGCCCTGTCTCACAGACTTCTGAAGCTCACTTTTAAAAGTGCAATAGCATCCAGATACTGTCCTGCTTTTCTACAGAAGTTGACTTAGCTGGAGAGATTTTAAAGTGGTTTTTCTGGGTCACACTTGCTGTCACAACCTAAAGGGTTACCCAGCCTGCGGGTATATAGAGATTGTGACAGTGGGTTGGTAGGATTCTGTAATGCAGAAGGACACGGAGGCTTTTTACTCTAAATTTCTCTATTTTATTACAGTTTGCTACAAATACCACAAAAATCACTACTAGCAACTATACCTATGATTGATAAAGCAAATATACGTGTATGGAAAAAAAAGTATATATAAAGCTGTTACAAATTGTTGGCAGCAGTCAATAGTATGGCAGCAACCAAGTAGGTGTATACTATTACAGGTGACTACAAACTTAACACTGGTGAAGCAAACTTATCAATAATATAGCAGCAGATGTAATTATGATAGATTACTTACGCACATATACATATGTTTACAATAATACCAGTATTAAGCTTATTGGACAGATCTCAGAATGGGCCAAACCATCCCAGAAGTGGGAGGACAAACCAAACCCTCCCCAGCGAGGGTCCAAGATCTCTTAGAAAGTTTGTGTCGAGAGTTCAGCCTATTTAGGAAAGGAAAACTACATGCAGCATGGGAAGTTCTCAGAGAGAGAAGCTTCATTTTGGATAAAAATTAAGTCATTTTTATATCATAGAGAAATAAGGAGGTGTAGGACACCACCACTTCAGCAGCCAATAGATGCTATTAATTTCTGTTTTTTACCTGGAATAGCCAATAAATGTTGATGTTTTCTGTTCTCTCAGGCAAATTTTTATTTTTCCAGACTGTTTTCCTGTTCTTGCAGACAGAACAGCCAATGGCAGTTACCAATTCTTACTTTCTCAGGATGTTTTCTCCCTTTTGCAGACTATTTTTCACCTTTTCAGATGATAAGTTGCTGTTACAGTTCCTTGTTTTTGTGCTTATCAGTGGTATCTCAGGATGTCTCTGGTTTCTAGGTACCCATCTGTGTACTTCAAAGAGGCCAGCTGTACTTCTCAAGGATGCTTCTGGTTCCAAGGCCTAGTTCCCAGGCTGGCAGGCATTTTCTCATTTCAGTATTTCAGCAGACGTTTTCTTCTGTTAGTAATTTTCCCCTTCTAACCAGGTCACTGTTATGGCTACTCACATCACCTGCATGTCCAGTTAAGACATGCACTGAGCCTCTTGTAATATTTTAATGTTTCTTGCCCAGCAGGAGATAGGGAGCTGTGATTGATATGCCAAGGAGGGAAATTATGGAAGCCGATTCATCTTGGAGCTGAAGCCTGACCTTTTATGTTCTACCCTTTTGTGTGTGTGTGTGTGTGTGGAGTGGGGAGGTTGTTTGAATTTTGACTGGCTGAAGATGAAATCCAAGGAGCCCTCCCATTCTCATCGTCAAGGAGGATACTAATCTGTAAAGCTCAGTGGATAGATACCATGGTGAAATGTTTACAGGTTCTTCTCAAGGGTTCGTAACCTCTGCTCTTTGTAGCCAGCTTCACTGGTTCTGCAGGACGACCCCTTGGGGCTAGAGAAATATCCTCTGAAAGTGCCGTTCAGCTTGGTCAAATTGTAGATTATTTCAGGGGAGAGAGCAAGGAAGAACACCACCCCACCCTCTGCCATGGTTTCTGTTGCTTAGCAAACTTTAGAGTATTTAACTAACCAAACACAGAGGTTTTACAACACCAGACAGCACTGCTGCCAAGTAGCAACAAATACTGCTTTAAGGAGTTGGAGGGGCCAGAGCAGTCATAGTGGGGTGGATCTGAATTGCAGTCATGTATGTGAAAGTTAGGAAATGCTATGAAAGGTGAAGCTGTGACAATCCTTAATGATGGGGTGCTGTATTTTTATGTTTTGTTCTATAGGAGTTCTGCCCTGTTCGTTGTGTATCCTTTTACTCTGCCTCTTTCCATAAAGAATCTCTGGCACTGCTTGTCCTGCTAGTGGTCAAGTTTCTGGGGGTTGTTTTGGTTTTAGTAGAACAAGATGTAGCACAATCAGAACAACTGGAATTAAGGAAGCTGGAAGATCTGAGTAGACTTTCAAGGGCACCGAGGTTAATTTATACTACTTGTGGTTTTCTTATGTACACACAATGCATAGTCACTTCCTCTTTAAAAAAAAAAAAAAAAGTGCGTAGTGAAAAATTTTTTCCCTTTAATGGTCTTGAAGATAACAACCCTATGAAGCTTTGGAAGTTTTTGTGATATCTTCATGATATTGCACAAGGTCCAGTGCATTTAAGTGCAACAGATGTTTCCCCTTAGCTGTGTGCGTGCTCTTGTTCTGGAACAGGGTGAGCCCTTGGAAGTAGGGTAAACTAATTATAAACGTAGTTTTCGTATTGGATTTAAAAGTCCTTGTGGACACATGATTAGGAACAGCACCACGTATGGGTATGCCTTTTTGTCCATATCTTTCCATTTATTTACAGGAGAGACAATACCTGCTGCAACAGTGAAAGTTCCCTACCCTACCCTTCTAGCACTTTTAGTTGCTAGAAGATAACTTGGTTTATGTGCTCTGACTCTTCTTTCTGAGGTCACTAACGAAGCATCAATGGGGAGATGGCAGCACTCCTTTCTGTTTGGTGGAGTTCAACCTGTAGCCTCATGGTGGAAACTGTCATGTCCTCTTGATTTGTGTATCTTTTTCCTTTCTCCCCTAACTCTGTGCTCTAAATCTCTTAGCGCTGCAGGAATACAGATAATCTAGTACCACCTAACTTGCACAGCAAGTAAAATAAATGATCAAAGGTACTGCACAAGGGCCTCCTTCAGAGGTGGGAGTGTTTGTCAGTTCCTCTGAACATTTGCACTAGGGCTTCAGACCTTCTCAAGATGCATAATGATTGGAGTCAGAGAGGGTCAGATATCAAAATTATCTGACTAGCAAAGGTTTACAAGGCAATACGTGAAAATAAACAGAAGAGGTTGCTGGAGGGTATGGCGTAATACACGAATCATGTAAAAACAATGTAAAACCTCAACCCTTGTGTCTGTGGTGATGGTGGAATTAGCAAGTATTTTCTGTACTGGTTTGCTGTAAGCTTGAAATACACCTGCTGTTCTACAATTTATTGCTGATACTGAACTTAAAAACCAGCCCAGAGACCAAAATGTAGAGTAATTTTTTTGTTTAAAAAAGAAAAAAAAAAAAAAGAGAGGGATTCCCAGTTGTCGTCTTTTTGTCATGTCTCTTATATGCCTATCTGGGAAAAGTGATCACTGATAGTGACCCTGTTGTAGCTCTAGAGTAAAATAAGCTCATGAATAAGGATACTGCCAGAAACAAAAATGCAAGGCTCATTAGCCACAAAAAAGCCTTATGCATAGTTGATACTAACTTCTCATGAAAAAAGTTCTGAGACGGTCTATGTGTGTTTGTATAAGTAAATATATGTGTGTGTATGTGTTTATATTTTTATATATAAAATTATTACATGGAAGTTAGTAGGGTACATTGTAACCTCAGAAAAGGGTAAAAATCTGAACTTAATTCCTTGTCTCATAACCCCATCTTAAAACCATAAGATGCTTAGGTCCATAATGGGGCCATCTGACTTATACAAAAATACAGGGGTGCCAGAAATTGATGTATAGAGGATTATATGGCATAATATAACTTCATGTGAGTATACGGTTTGGTTTTTTCCTACCCATAGACATGGGCGAAGAAAACGGATACTTTTTTTTCTTGTTATGACCACTGGATTTAGCAATAGACAGCCTTTTCTGCTGATTATTTCTTTGCAGAATAAAGGGTATGTCACCTTGTGTTTAGATAAAGGTAGCTTGTACCAAGGGCTTATTTTTGATACATTGCATCTTGAAAAGAAAACTTTAAAGTTGTTTTTCTCCTTGATTTAACAACTGTAACTAAATATTTTGTACGTGATACAGCTGTGTGCTTTTTATGAAACCTTCCTAGCCCTTGATTACTTGTTTTTTTCTGGTGAACGTATTTGGTATAGCACAGATAAAACCCCCCTACCTAATCTATCATAATTAGATTTTAATTTCCTTGTAGAAATATTTCAAGGTAACTAAATCTTTTTCTTCTCCTTTAATTAACAGAGGAGGAGCTCAGGAAGCTGAGAGAAGAAACAAACGCTGAAACGTTAAGGCAGGAGCTAGAAAAGGAACGGCAGAGGAGATTAGAACTAGAACAAAAAGTCAATGAAGTACTTAAAGCAAGGTAAGAGAAATATATAAAGCAAGGTAAGAGAAATATCTTCACTGTAAAGCTGAAAGCCACTTGAGATCTCTGACTGTCTCTGAGGAGTTCTGGTAAAAGCATCCATTTCCAGCCTAGGCTCTCTTAAAATAAATTAGTAGCTCACAGAGAGAGAAGTTGTCTACGTTTTCCTGTAAAAGTGCATCTTGTGCACCCATGTACACCCAAGTTACTTGACCATACATACTGCCCTAGCTACAGAAGTGTTCTGACACTTTTCTATTTGGGATATTCTTCATTTCACCTTCTCTGATGCCGTCCCTCTGGGATCTCACCTGCCTGGAGCTATCAGCGTGCACTGTGTGCTACTGAATGCCAGAGCCTTTGCCATGCCACTGCATATGCTATGCCTCTTCAAAACCTGTGTCATCTCCAGACTGGCTAGTCCTTGTTACTCCTGTTCTAGCAGCAGCAAGGACATCCCAGTACTGCAGCACAACTCTAACTGTGTGGGAGTGACCTGGGTTTGAGCCTTCCTTGCCACTGCAATAACAAATTGAAACATGCCTTCCCATGCCTCTAAGTCCTTTCAGCCTTGAGGACGCCCACCTTGATGATGCAAAGCATCATGTTTGATGTTTTCTCCTTAGTCTGCCTAGCTGCACAGACTTTAGGACTTAAGACCATAGCAGGTGCTTGGTGGCCTTGTTGGTCTAGACCAGTTGCATACATAGCTGCCTGTGTTATCTTCCTCAGCAGTAGCTAAGATTACTTGGCTGAGCAGTAGGATCTGTGGTTCACCATCAACTGCTGTCATCAGGAGATAGAGCACACTGAGTTGGTAATTGCACGTGATAAGCACTGCCAGTTACTTACAGGTGACAAGCAAAAACCATCAGGCAAAACTTTTTGCTTGGATGTGAGGTTTCCCAGGGCCATGCAAACTCTTCCCAGCCCGCCGCTTCCCTCTGTACTCATCCTGAGCATACAAATGCCTTTCTGGTCAGGCCAGTAGTCCATGTCCCCTGGTACTCTGTAGCAATGGTTATAGGAGCTATTTATAGGAAATGTGTGAGCTTAGTTGCTTTCTGTGGTCTCTTTACCTCCTACTCCTATATAGCATCCACAAACACTGTATTAGGGGTATCAGAAGGTACATCGCTGCCTTGTCACTTCAGTATCTGTTTGCAGACCTGTTATCCATGAATTTAACTCCCTATTGAAAGTGCTGGTGCTGTCTACAACTGGAAGCTATGGAGACAGTACGTTACAGAAATCCACTCTTGACTCTAAAGAAGCGATTTATTTTCTTTCCTTTTTAACAGATTTCTTAGTGGTTTCAAGAAGTGGCCTGAAGTTACAGAATTTTGAGATTTGGTGAATAACTGTTCAGCATTCAGCTTATTTACCACTCTTGATCAGTCCTTTCCTCTCTTACTCTTCTCTTCTCCAGACTGAAGAGTTCCAGCTTTGCCAGTATCTTCTTAAGAGTACTCCATTCCTTTCATCACTTCAGTTGCCATTCTTTAACTGTTCTGTCTTAAGATGAAGAGGCAGAGTTCATGCAGTATTCAAAGTGTGGGTTCACCAAGGCCTTGTATAGAATAAATCAGTCCTTTCCTCTTACCCTCAGTACCCAGTACAGTGGGGGTTTTTTGGCTGATGTTTCACACTGATGGTTTTCCAAAATCACTGGTTCCGTGCAGGGTCGGTCTACATGTAGTCTGGACCTGAGCTGTCAAGTTGCACGCTTAGAAGGGGCTCTGCAAGGTCCTTGTGGAGGAGCCTTGTTCCCAAGCCAGCCTTGTGACCATGCACTGGGAAGGTGATCTGGACAGCTCTGACCTGGGTGGTTTTTTGGTGACTTTTAAAAGTTGCTCTTACAACTGGGAAGTGGGATTGCATTTTTATTGCCTATGCTGGTTGACCTGGCTGTATGCATGTGTAACTTCTATTTTGTATCTAGACTGATGTTTCCTAGTTGAGAGGGCTACTGGGGACAGTGGAAGAGGACAAACTTGGACCCATCCCCATGCTTAGAGTATCTGTTAGCTCCATAAAAGCAGTACAAAGCAATTAGTATTGTTTTCTGCTATTGGTAGAGAAAGCTAACGGTTCAGGATACCTTTCGTCTCTGACATGCTGCCTTGAAGAAGTCATCTGACATGCAAGTTCCACATGCTTGTCTTTGAGCACGGTACAGGTTATATCATTAACACTGGCGTAGGCCTTAAGTTTTTCTCCCGGGAGCAGATATGCTTGGGCTCTAGCTCATGCACCAGAGAAGGGAGAGAGTGATCCCATCATTGCTGGGAGTCCTGGAGAAGGATGAGGAGCTGCCTTCCTCTGCAGGAAGGTACTCATCATCCTGTCCTATTTCAGAGTAATGAGGATGGTCCAGGGTCTGCTATGGCCCAGGGCAACTTAAGAGTACGTGTGTGTTATAGAAAAAAGAGTTTGAAGGATTTTGGTTCTCAGTATTAGTGTCAACATCTGTGTCTCGTTGGATTGTGGACAACAGCAAATCTCTAGCAGGTGTGCCATTGCTAAATTAAGGTAGCATGACCTGTGTGCTTCAATGCTGTATTCCCATTTAGATATCCTAAGGATTACACTAGCCCTGTTAGCTTGGGTATTGCACTTGGGGATTACATTCAGCCAATTATCCCCTTTATCCATGTCTTTTTCAGGCTAGTCTTGCTAATATTCCAACCTTTTCGGGACAGGCAGGTATATGTAAGATGACAACAAAAAAAAAGACTTTGAAGACTTTCCCAGTTTCTACCCAGAAGAAGAAAAAGCAGGTTTCCTACGTTTTTTCCTTAACTTGTGCTCCATTGTGTGAATTTTTTTCATTGCTTTTTTATCTTTTTGCACTTTGCTGTAGACATTTTAAAATACTTTTATTAGGACTACAGGCAAAGTGTTGGCTGACACAATCAAATATGTAATAGGCCAAATTTACACCTGATGGAAACTTAATTTTATCAAGCAAAGTTACCAAAGTCATCTCTGCTTATGTCAACAAAACAAAATTTGCCCTGCTTCTCAGCTAGCTAATTTTTCATGTAATCTTTAAATAGATATGTATATAAACATTTTTGCTTGTACTCTTTTTTTGCTTACAGAAGTGAAGTACTGATGAAAAACATACCATGCTATGGTGTAAGAAGGAAGAAATTATTTTAATAGTTACAGTATTCAGAAGTATTTGTGAAGTACATCAATACATGTAGCTATATGAATACATGCTGCAAAGTGTTCAGCAAGGAGAAAACAATGAGCTAACAATCTAGCCTTTTTTTTTTGTGTGTGTGTGAAGAAAATGGGCTTCTTTCATTGAGTTGTGTGGAGGGAGGAGTGGAAGAATAGGATTTTTAGTGGTTTTGTTTGGTGTTCATTGTCTGTATGTCGGCATTCAGAAACATGGTGGCCCCAGCTGAAGTTTTCCATAGATGCACTTCGGGACATCCCAGCACTTGGTACGACAGCTGAAGCTTATGACATTTTGCTAGTGGAACAATGCATAAATAATTTGGAATAGTCTGTGTGAGCAGTGCTTGTTTAGCATAAATTGTGGGCTGTTGCTGCCTTATTTTACAAATTGTGAGCTAGCTCTATCACGCAGGAAAAAAACCCACCCCAAAACCAAGTAGTTTTGTAACAACACCTACCAACAAGATGTGGCTTATAAAAATCTTTTTATTAGTATCATTGTGAACTATTTTTAAGAGGAGCAAATAGGCAATGCTTCTGTATAAGCCCCTATTCCTTCTGTGCTGCTTACCTTAGTTATCTTAATCAGCTCTTCCTGGCCTTTTATTAAACGACATTGTCTTTGACACATGCGATGTTTTGAGCATGGCTGACTTTGTCCATTGAGAAGATGCCTCAGCTTGAGATTGCTCTGGAGGCTGGAAATGTTCCCTCCTGGAAGGATCCCTGTCAGGCTGGGACTCTGCACAGGTAGCAAGAACCTGAGTCCCAGGGCCAAACGTTTCTCACCTGGCTGCCGTGCTGCACTGGGCTTGCTGACATACATGGTTGCTGACGTACCCAGTTGGCTGAACTTCATGTATGTGTTTATTTTTAACTTAGTGGATTTGGTCACAGGCTGCTTGTAAAGTAGCTCCTGTGAAGAGTTTCTTTTGAATTTTTTCTGCCCGTGAACATCTAGATCTTGTACGACTTCTGGTTGATGACATTTCTTTGAAGGAGATGCAAAACACGAAAATAAGGTTTAAGTCACAGCTCCTCAGGTGAAGAAGCCAAGCATACCTGAAAGATATGCCTTTAAACTAGGCTGTGAAAATACCTGCTTTATGCTTATTTTGCAGTTCTGAGGTTGGAGGGCGCTTTTGATGGAAGCACACACACATTCATGTTGCTTTGAGCAGTAAGAAGGATGTAACAGCCTTGACTGGCTTCCACAACAGCTGTCAAAAGAATGATGGTGGGTTGCTTGTGAATGTGGAGTTAGCCTGTAGGAAAATTGCTTTTAATATGTCTAAGAACATCCTGACATCAACTGGACCTGTTGTGTGCAGCAAGTCCGGTCTTCACGCAGTTGTTGGGGGAAGTCAGTTGATCCACATACGCTTCAACTCATGACTGTATTCAAGGCCTAATATGCACAAACCAAAAATGCTTATTTAAGGTCAATGGCCTTCAGTACCCAGGCTCCCTTAACTTTTGTGTCATAATTGCAGCTACAAAAATAACGCTTTGGTGCTATTCTGTGGAGCAGCATTGAGTGGATGCTGCATCAGTGTGCAGGTCATTTTTGAATGGTACATGTGTACTGGTCATGAACAGCTCTAACATTCATGCTTCCCTGATTTCAGTATCTTTGAAGAAAAAAAAAAAAGGCACATTTGTGTTTGTCTTCTCCATTGGCTGAGATTGCTCTTACCTGTTTTAATCAGCCTGTGCTTTTAAATGGGTACAACCTCTAGTTGCATAAACATGACCTAACCTCAGGTTGGGGATCTGTTGGTGTTACCAGTCACACCCTTTTTCTGGGTGAAAACCATGGTCCCGGAGGAATTTGTGCAGCTTGTTTTCTTTGGTACAGGCTGCAGTTAGGAAGCCCTCATAGAAACACAGCCTTTTACGTTGTTCTGAGGGACCGCTTATGTTTTCCAGCCTTTTAACTGATCTCTGGCATGAAGAGTGGTTCAGAAACTGTAGGAGAGATAATTTCTCCCCTCTGTTAGTGGTCTTGATGTGCTGGCTGGTTCAACATGACCTGGTTTGGGGATTGAGCTTCCCAGTGGGTGTGCAAGCCTAAACAATGAATTCTGAGCTTCCTGGCCCAAATCTGTCTGAAGTGGCTAATTATAACCTGATTCACAGGTGCAGTAATGAGCTGTCATTAACCTGATGATTCGTAAAGGTCAGGTTCTTCACAGGGAAGGAGTAACAAGCAGGTGGCAAGTAAGACATTGCCAAAAAAACCAAAACAAAAAAGCACCAAGAAGGGCCAAAGCCAAAGCATCATGTACTCCTGATGGAGCCCAGTGAGGCTGCTATCCAGAACTCCTTCTTGATGAGATTTTTTTGGATTTTTTTCCAAGAAACATGGGGAGTAATGACGCTGTGCTGCTTCTGAAAATATATCCCAGCATGTCAAAGGAAGACCCAGCCTGAAGGCTTTGGCGGCTGGCAGTGGTGGGATCCTCTCTCGGCTCTGTCAATGGGGCCATTCAGGTGTGACACCCCCCAGTGCCTTTGCACGACTGGAGCAGGTTGAGTAACTGGCTCCTGCCTGTGTGAACCTGCTTGTGAATGACTACCTCCTTTCTACCTAAATGTGTTTTCAGCTTCGGTGAAACACGGTGACTGTGACAGATTGCAGGTGAAAATGCCCACCTATATAGTGTAATCATCTGGTGTGCTGGCTGAGGAAAACAAGACAGTGCTGTATAATAGTTTGTGCAAATTTAATCACATTAATGGCGCTCTGCCTTTAGAGAGTCAGAGCTGGGAATGGAGGAGATGCAAGGATGTGGGGGAAAGAGCAAGGAGAAGAGGAGGTTTTAGGTGGGGAACCCATGGCTTGTGTAGAAATTTGGGAAGAATGGCACAGAAAGCAAAGTTAAAATTTAGCTAGAAAAAATAAACTGGTGGAATTTCAGGTGGCTTTTGAAAAGAAGAGTTGCTGTGGATACAGAAGCTGTGTAGAAAAGTCCTGAAGAGGTGTGAAAACAAGTGGCTTTGAAAGCAGAAACCGTTGAATTCACCTTCTCCACACTGATAGATGTCCAGTTATAATTTATAAATCAGTAAATTATTTCTAAATGTTCCTTTTAGAAATGAACAAGGATGTGGAAAGCTCATTAAATGTGCTTAGGAACAAAAGGAGGTAATTAGTTCTGTAGTTTCTCCATCATGCTCGTTGATATATGCTGATGCTGAGACAGCACGAGTTAGTAATGGCTTTTTCCATGTGCAGACAGTACACCAAGATCTTTCCCTAATGTACTTTGTAGAGGAACAGCAGGAGAGAAAACTATGTATTTGTCTAGATTGCTGCAATGTGCCCAGTCCAGTGGAATCCCTCTTCTCGCTATCCATTTGCTGACTGGCATCCCAGTTGGTTCCCTTCCTGAGGAGCAAATGATTAAGGGGAACATCTGAAAGCACCTATATTGTCTGATAAATGAGTGATAATGAAATTGCATGACGGACATGTTTTTGTTTCAAGCAGTAATCTTTTCAGTCATACAACTCCCTGTCAAGTAAAACTTGCTGCGGCTGGTGTTACATTTCATTGTCAAAGCTGCTGCTTCATTAGAAGAATCTTTCTGTAGGACATCTACATTGATGGCTGAAGTCTTTTGGACTGAAGCCTGAAGTATTCTCAAGACGGGTTGGCAGTTGGAGGCTGTGGATAGTGTAAATGTAATTTGAAGCCTTGCACATGTGCAGAATAGCAAAAGCATTTGTGTTTTCCAAAATCTGTTCACTTTTAATGGATGAGAATATTATTCTTGACTCATTTTGAAAGGTGAGACTAATGGTGCCTGCTACTTGCCATATATTTTTAGAACATTTTTGTCTTGTTTTTTCAGACTGTTATTTCAATTTTGCAAGTTTTAAAAAAAATATTTTTAGAATTGGTTGGTATCTGCCCATTTCAAGAGCTTACAAGATAATTCTTGACACCCGTTCCTCTCATTGTGAAGATGAGTGGTGTTTGACTCTGGTAACGATGGCAGATTTCAAGGTTCACGCATTAAACTGTAATTTTGTTCTAGTACTGTGGTTATCAACTTGCGATATGGAATCCCTTTCATTTATTACTGTGGGAGAAGTCAGGACTCTGAAGAGTTTTCCTGGCAGGCATTGAAATGAATATACAACACAAAGGCATAAGTAATGCAACAAATTTGATACTAAATTATGTAGTAGCTGTAAGTTGAAATGGAGCTGTCGGTGGCAGGAAATGGCTAAACCGCACCTCTCCTTCCAGCGGACGGTATTTCCCTGGATCCCAAGTGCAACGTGCGGTGAATATTTTGACTCTTGCGAAAGGGCGTGAGTGTGGTTTTTTTCTTGTCATCTTGTATTATCTCAGCTGTGGAAGCCGCGGAGGTTCCGGTGCTCCCTTTACCTAAGAGGGAAAAAAATTCTTCATCTGTAGCATTTCACATTGTTTCCATTTTCTTTGTAGGACGGAAGAGGTGCCAGCAGCTCAGCAACCTGCAAAGCCACAGACACAAGCCAACGGAACAGGTAATCTTGGTCAGATCTCTACGAGCAATTTGATTCAGTCAGACTTTTTCCACCCCTTTCTTTTGATCCTTAGAAGATCAAACCTTGCTGAAAAACTTGCTGGGTCCTGAAGCAGGCTTCCGAAGAAGCTGAATATGAAAGACCACTTGAGCAGCTTCTTACCTCTTCTGCATTTACTTTTTGTAGTTGACTTTGCACACCTGAGCAAGGAGTTTATTGTGCATTGTATAGCTTCTAGGAATATAATGAAACCTGTTGCCTGACATCATCATTCTTGCATGCTTTGCTGATCCTTGACTTACCAGAAAACAGGTATAATACATAGAAAAGATGTTCTATTTTGTTCTCAACTGTAAAAGCTCTTTTATGCCATTAACTGATTACTTCTTCCTTTTTCTAAAAGAAAAGACATCCTGGAGAAGGAATAGGCTTAAGAGGTACTCATTCTTTGGACACCTAAACTGTCGTCTACATTTCTCAAGCTGCTGCTTATTATGAATTCAATAGCATAGTGTTTTCTGAAAGAACTGAGGCAGCAGGCAGATTCTCAATCTTTCAGTACACTTAAGCTTTCCACCCCACATCTCTTGATTGAGACTTAGGCTTTTAAATCTGCAGATTAAATTTGAAGTTGCTTCTCCTGTACTCCCATAATGTCAAGACTTTTTGTTATGTGAACTATAACCTGCCATTTTTTTTCCTGTCTTGTACACTCAAAATTTCTTTCTCAGTACTCTCTGAAGTATTAGCATGTGGGAAGCTAATAAAAAAATATTTTTTTATTTTCAAATTGTAGTGTTGTCTCAGCTGTAAACTGTCACTAAATTCCTGTTTTTTCTAGATACCACTGTCATTCATTAATAAATAGTTTGATTCTGTTTTCTGAACGCTGGTTGCTTTTTCTCACATGTTTAAAAGCATTATTTTGGCTGTTGTAGTTGGCTGATTAATTTTTCATGCCTCTGTTTAATCATATCTTAATTTTATGGAGTTCTGTACAAAGTTTGATTCTGGAATAGTTGTGACCAGTGTACCCTTCGTGAAAATTGCTGTGTTGACCTACCTTTCCAAAGAATAGTCTGTCTGTTCCTTCTAGACAGTGATTTTCTGAATTACAGGTAAAGCAAAAGATGATGGTTTTGTTCTCACTTGTGCTACCATAAGGCTTTTACCCTTCTACTATTTCCATATATCCATATATTTGTTATATATTTCCACTGAAACTGACGTACAAAAAGTGTGGATCGCTTCATTACTTTGCTGTATGAGACTTTCCAGGCAGTATTATGCCTGTATGTTCCATATATAGAAAGTGGCATAAACAGCATAATTTCTGTAGCCTGGCTTTAAAAAAAAGAAGGCGCATGTTTTAGAGAGAGAGAGAGATATATACACGCATATACACACACACACACACACACACACACACAATCTTTGCAAGCCTATAAATGGTTGGAAAGTGGTAGGAAAAATGCCTCTTGCAGAATCTTGCTTAAGTTTCCACCTACCTTTCCTGTTAAATTTGTATGGCTGCAAGGTGGTCGTCCTGCTTTCTGCTCAGGAGTGTTTTGCTTTACGTTTGCTTTTCTCGACGTGATACTTCAGCAAAATAGGAGCGCTGAGATTTATGTCAGTCTTTTGTTTACAGGAACCTCTTAACCAGCAAATGTTTTTACAGTGTTTGCTAAAATTCTCGTTTGTTAGGATGTTTAAGTAAGCTCTATACTTCTGGTAATAAGGTGCTTCCATGTGCCATACTTAGAACAAAGCAGGAGTAACCTTTAGTCTTATTTTACCAGCTCAGTGCAGTCAGGGTTTCTGTGCAATGGCAGAAGTAAATTGCATAGTGAGTTTCTGTGAAGAGTGTTGGTGAAGGACAGGAAAGTTGTACAAAGTTTGCTTTCCAATGAAGCATGGCATGCAGGAGCAAGGGCAGGCTTTGGATGAAGATGTCTTCTAGTATTAGCCTGATACTTAGTGCTTCTTTTTTACAGATAAGCGTAGTCACACAATCTGTTCAAGACTCCAGAAGTGGTTTTGTGACAAATTTGGGGAGTATGTTGAGGACTTCAGATTTCAGCCAGAAGAGAATACAGTGGAAACAGAAGAGCCACTTAGTGCTAGAAGGTAAATCTGTAATGTGATTGTATGAAATTGTTGGCTTCTTTGCAAGTGGCTTTTTTTTTCTTTTCTTTTTTTTTTACAACCTTTTACATGGTTTAAACAAGTGTTTGCATAACAAGTAATAAAACTGAAAGTACAGAACCATCTCAAAAGGTTCGTGAATGCTTTGGCCAAAACATGAAATTTGAACTTTATCTGCTATCTGAGGTAGGATAAGAGTTATATTATTTACCACATTCTGTCATATGCCTCTCAAAAACTGTGGACAAAGTCTTAGTTAGGCTGGAGAGCTTTTACATTTCAGTTTTTTGGTCTGATGCAAGGCAGGCTGTGTTAGTTACTAGAAACACATTTTATAACAGGCAAGAACGAAGCTTCATGCACAAACATCTAATTTATAACTGTGAGCAGTATTTCAGGGACCAAATGTACACAACTGTGCACTACTTGCCTATTTAACAAGTTGGTTTTATCCTTTATTTTTCAGATTGACTGAAAATATGAGAAGATTAAGTAAGTACTTAGCAGTATTTTATTTTCTGGAAGTAAAAATAGTTCTTAGTAACCCTATTGGGAGGGTTGCTGCATTTTAAAATATAGTGTTTTGAAATACTTCTGCTAGTTCATAAGCAGAAACAATTCTGAAATCCTGAATTAGTGTTTGGAGTGCAAAGTAACTTAGAGGAGCGGTGGTAGAAGCTTGCCTTTAATCTTGAATTACACAGGGTATCTCTGAACTAAAAATGTAATGTCAATTAAAATGTGTAAACATGTAATGAATGAGAACAGGGTATTTGTCCAATGGCAGAAGTAACAGCGTTCATACGCTTATACCTGGAGCTGCTGGTAGTTCGCTTGCTGGTCTATTACCTTATGCTTTTAAAGAAGGAAGGGTTGGACAGTGCATACCCTGAGTGTGTCTTGCATTTCTTTCTATTGAATAGCTGATAAAATTATTTTGGAAGGTGGAGGATGCAAGATGGCGGGTTAAACAAAGTAGTTAAGCCCTCCAGAAGTTCTGTACAGCAAAGAATTGCTAGCCTGAAAAAAAAAATATGGCTGATTTGTGCTCCAAATTGTTAAATTATTGTAGGGGGGAAGGTGAAGTTGAAATAAGGGTCTGTAATCTCCATGTAAGGTCAGTTTTGTTCTCCTTATTCTAATACTGGTATTCATTCTAGTTTCATTTGAGAGAGCACTTGTGACCTGTTCTCCTTGGTAGATGTGCATTGCCTTCAGAATAGCTTTTAAAAAAAGCAGTATTAAGCTCAAGCTTTAAGTGGTTCTTAACTTCCACTTGGTGAGCTACAAAATCTAGATCCCTCTTGTCCAGGGGTGCCTGACGACCACCCAGAGCTCAAGACCCTTGGATGCTCTCAAGACCCCTGTTGTCACCAGCGGTTTCCCTGCAGGTTTGGTGGAGGATGGTGGAGCAGTGCTCGAGTCCGTGACCACCTCCAGTGCCTCAAGCGTGCCCTTCCACTTACTTCATCCACTGCTTTGGTTGTCCTGATACTCAAGGAAGTCTAGTCCTAGCTGTTGTAATTACTTCCCATAGGGAATGTGTCAAGGATAGCTGAATTCCAAGCCAAACAAACTTGAACAGCAAGTCGCAGGTTCTCTTGAGGAAAGCCTTTGAAAGTTGTGAGCTATACTGCAAACGATGATGGGTGCTTCAGGGGCCTCCTGTGCAAGAGAAGTCGTCACTCTTCTCAGCAGGGAAGGCAAAACCCATGTGTTCCAACAGAGAAAGCAAAGGTCTTCTTGCAGCAGCCCTCTCCTGTTTTCTTGTGTCCCCTAGCTAGTTTGCCCAAGTGGTAAAAGAACTTAGTGGAATAGGAAGGGTAAAGGACAAGTCTTTTTTGGGGAGCTGAGGAAGAGCTCCTCTTGCTGTGGGCATCTGTGCATGGGAGTGATGCCTCTCCCAGCCCAGGTTTGTCTCCTGTGCAGTGACTGTGAGAGCAAAGGTCTGCAGAGGTGGGAGAAAAACTTCTTCAGGCAGCAAGGTCCTGTGTCTCTTGGCTTAGGAAGAGTAAGCAGCAAAATGCTACCAATGGATATACTCCTGCAGAAACGTAGCCAAGAGAGATCTATCCTGGTTTTGAGCTAGCTTGGTCAAGCAGCAGCAAGTTGTTCCTTGGTGGCTTGGAGTCCAGTCAGGCTAATTTACCTTGTTTTACAGTGGGATGAACTGACCTGTGCGGAGGTCTTCGGGGTAGCGTGAACAGGACTCAGAACAGACTGCTATCAGCATCCAGGGTACCCTTGTAGAGGGTATTGATTATTTTTGTCTGTACTTCAGAGTTTAGACATAACCTTTGTCTTGAATAACACTTTAGTTTTTGGAAATGCATTACCTAACTAGTTCAGTTACATTGATGGATTTCATTTTTCTTAATTTGGATTAGCCTTTTTATCTTTCCATGTCTTGAATATTCCTGTTAATTTTCTGATTTGGGTGTTTGTCATTTACAAGTGATTTAACCACTGCCAGCTAATTCTAACAGTTGTATTTTTTCTCCACTTCTGTTTAGAGAGAGGTGCCAAACCTGTTACTAATTTTGTGAAGAATCTTTCTGCCTTATCAGACTGGTATTCTATCTACACTTCTGCTATTGCCTTTATTGTAAGTTATCCTATTCCTCCAGGAGTAATAAGAACTTTTAAATGTATTATTTAACGAAATTCATTGAAACTGCCATATCTGAGATGGGGTTATGCTGCAATGTAAGTCAAATCAAACAGTGTAATTTCATTTAACACAAAATACTGGTAGTTGTCACTTCAATTATATTTCAAAGCCACTTAAATTGTGTATTCTGGGTTTATTGTAGCATAGTTCTGAAACTGTTAAAATAACTTAGAACGATTTGGTCATCATTCTGTCATTTCTTGTTTCCTGTCTCCCAGTACTGTATTTTGATGGTTACTTCAGCATCTGCAAAATCCCTTGTCCAGGGCTGAAATGCTGATAGCAGCTGTGTTTGATAAGAAGCTATTGTTCACCATCAGTGCTCTTTGGCCTTCGTTAGGATCATACTTACTGATGAGAAACAAAATGCCCTGATTTGAGTATCATTTAATGTGCAAACATTGGGTCTATGAACTAAATTCAAGTATTCCCATGCTATGTAAGGAGGTTTGAATGCCACAAAGTGACATAACTGTTTAGTAGAGTTTTTATTTGCTTTCCTTCCAATTGTTAATTAAATGATCTAAATTCTTTTGGTCACGGTATATATGAAATATTTTGATACTTGTAGAAATTATTACCAGTAGTTGTTGAATGAACCTGTTTGGTGAAAGTGTCACGCACCTTTTCGTTAAACGATCCCTCCCTGTAAGTTACAGAGCCTTACTTAATGCTGCTTTGATGGCACAGCTCAAGGAATATTGAGGAGACTTCCCCCTCCTGGTGCCCTGTGTCTGTCCCTTTTCCTTATGAACTGATTTTTCTCTCACCTGTCCTGACAAACCCATTCTTCAGATACAAGGTGAAGGAAGGAACTTCAGCTGTTGTTCAGAAAGCTCTGAGACCTCAGAGCCAGAGCGATGCTTCATTTTGGGGTTATCAGTAAAAATTAGCCTAATGTCTCTTGGCAGGGAGGCTGTAGTCTCTGTATTTTCAGAAGTTGGGAAGGAGACAGAACACCTTTTGAAGCACTTTGTGTCTGTACTTGTTAGGTAAAATAAGGCCTGTTTTCCTACAGTCTTTTTAAGCTTGGTAAAAATTTGGGCTTTAGTTGACCTGAAATAATACAGCAAGAGTTTATCCCATCGCCCTGTAAGGGGGCTGTCAGAACTCTTCTACCGTACCACTGCTTCAGCTGATCTAGGTGAGATCAGACCGTATCATGGTCATGTAGCAGATTCACAAACTTTAAGGTTTACTTTTTTTTTCTATAACTTCATGCAATTGCAGTGTTGGAAATATTCATTCTTTCAAGCAGCTGAGCACTATTTAAGTGTCCTCTCTGGAGATTTAGTTCAATCTTTTAGTTTCGACTTTACATTCATGAATGCAGTGCTATTGTCTGTCATGGGGTGGCTGAAACTTATTAACTTTTGTGATCTGAGTTGTGTGATTCTGAAACCAACAGTACAGTGGGAAACGGTATTTCATACAACTCACTGTACCCCAGTTTTTAATCCACATCTCTTTTTCTTTTTTTCTTTTTTCTTCTTAATCTGCAGATTTACATGAATGCTGTATGGCATGGCTGGGCCATTCCTATGTTCTTATTTTTAGCAATTTTGAGGTTGTCCCTAAATTACCTCATAGCCAGGTATTTACTTAAATACTAGATTATTGTCTTGTAACACTTTGCTTGAAAGATGTTTTATTATTCTTGCACTGAGTCATAAACTGTTACCTGTTCTAACATTGTGAGTTAAATTTAACAAAGTGAAATTCAAACTCTAATATCCTTAATTTCATTGCTCAGTTTCTATAATTTGTGACTATTCTAAGGAATTGTCTTCATTTCCTGCGACTTGGGTCATCATAAATGATTCTGCATGTTCTCAGACAAACCCCTCAACACTTTAAAATTCTAAAATAAAAATATTCTGCAGTATTCAGAGTAGGTGGAGAACATCACCTTAAATATTGAACCCTGCTGCTTTTCCCTGGAGAGGATTTTTTACCTAGGCTTAAAATGGCAGGCTTTTTCCATTTGTATATTTGGTCTCTATTAAAAATTAAGACTTTCTTTTTTTAGAAAAAAGTACATTTTCTGTACTGAGAAGATCTCTTAAAAATGCTATTTTAGGCTAATGGTGTTTTCCCCCTTAAAAAGCTAAAGATGGCAGGAAGGATCTTAATGTGCATATTTTAAAATAATTTTCTGATTTCTTAATTAATACTTACTGTCTGACACTCTGTTTGAAAATTGCCAGTAGCAAATAGGCTCCAGAATAGGTTGATACAATTTTGTTCACATAAAAAACCCAAGAAAAAATATTCCTAATTATTTACTCTGTGCACACAGTTCACTTTTGTTGTAAAACCCACAAGCGGTGATTCTGTGTAGTATCCACCTAGCTAATATAATTTTTTTTTATGTATATACCTTTAAAGCTGTCTGTTGTTGGCCACTTATGCTTATGTTATTTTGTGGGTTCTTTGTTGATTTGGGGATTATTTGTTTTATTTTTTATTTTTAAGCCGTAAGTGCTTGTTGCAGAAAACTACTTTTTAACCTCTTACAAATAATCCATGTTGGCAGGTGGAGAAGAAGTACTTGCTCTCTTTAACTATTTCCATAACTTCTAGGGGTTGGAGAATACAGTGGAGCATTGTGCCTGAAGTTTCTGAACCCATGGTAGGTCTTTGATGGGTTTGGCCTATATGCCTATGTTAAAAGTTGTACCTTCAAAACCCTCCTCTGTCTTTATGTGGGTAGCTGTAAAAGGAGAGAAGAGTGAGATGCAAATAAAGACACTACAGCTTTTTTCTTTCTCTTTAAATTTAGAAATCTTCACCAACAGCACTAGGTTTGGGTGTTTCACCATAAAGTAGTCCAAACTTGAATTACATTTCTGCAATAGATGTTAATATGCCAGCTTGGGACAAGTTAGATCCTATGGGATCTTCAGGAAGCCTTGCATTCTGTTATCTCTGTATTATTTTTGAAATAAATATTTGCATATCCTGCTTTAAGCAGGAAGTATTGTAAGTAAGATGGAGTTCTTTGAATTTCAACCCTTTTAGTAAGACTTAGTGAGGCCTTGCTTCCAGGATAATTTTGTTACTCTTAAAAGGCCGATAATCTATTAAAATAAATAAATAATAAAGTTATAGATGTAAAAGTTAAAAAAAAAAAAAAAAAGACATTTCTATGCTAGACCAGAAGTAGGTCAATTTAAGCGTGTGTTCATAGACTGAAATTCATTGTAACCATGCTGTTCCAAAGACTTACTGTATCTTTCACAGCCTCATGTTACTATGTTTGCATATACGGTGGAGGCAAAGCATTGATAACTAAAGATAACCAGTGCAAACAGTAGATCTGAAACAAGGGAGGAACTTGGCAAATTTAGAGACTGTTTAAAGCAAGAGGACTATTGCCAAGAATGTTGAGGAGTCATGTTTTCATGAGGAATTTTGTAAAATACCAGTTTTAGCTGAGCTGAAAATTAATGGGTTATCTCTTTCTTGCCCAAGGAACCCCCAAAAGAGGACCTGACGGTGTCTGAAAAGTTTCAGCTTGTTCTAGACGTGGCTCAGAAGGCGCAGGTACTGTGCTGTTCTTGGACTTCTCTGGCTGCTTCCTTAGAACAAGGAGGTTCATAGTCCAAATGGTCAAAGTACTTTGTTATGCAGCATGTGAAAACAAACACTTAAACAAGCAATATTTTCCTTGCATAGGGTTCTTTACTTACAAGCAATAGAAATCTCAGTAAGATGCCTGGAGCTTCTGGAATGGCATGATGCTTCAGAGAACCGGTCAAAATTCTGCCGTCACAGCTCTGAGCGAGGTCTGAAGGGGAACAGAAGCAGCTTCTGATGGTTTTTCCCGTAATATATGCAAATGAGCTTCTGATAATGTAGGTCAGGTGGCAGATCTTACCAGTGTACTGGAGTATGGATCCATTTCCCAAATCTGCTAGTTGCAAAACTGGTGTAAGAGGCCCTATTCCTTCAACTGTCTGTTTAGCTGTGTTAATTCAACAGTTTGCACAGCATCTCTGAAATAGTCTGTTTTAAGCACCACAGCCCTGAAATCTGCTGCTTGTGTGGGAGAGGGTGAGCAAAGGTTTTCTCCCAGCTACATCAGTTTGCTGAGCTACCCTAGCAGCTGAGTGACTCCACCATCCAGTTGAACTGCAGCCTTGTGCCTTGTCTAACGATGTGTCACTGCTGAAAGTAGCTTACCTTTGTCTCGCCAACTGTGTGTGCTGATCTCCTTCCTTCTGCTGGTGGTGGTGCATATGTTTATATGAACGCCTTTGGAAATTTATTGGGAAGGTGAAGTTTACAGGTCCTGTGACAGCAAGAATCGGTTAGAGGAGATGGCTGAATAACCCTCTTAGTCCTGAGCAGGGGTCTGTTTGCATCAACAACTGTTGGAATTCTGTGGAATCTAGTAACTCGAAGGGTACATCATAAACACCTGGGGGTGGTGTGTTTCTGAAGAAGCTACGAGTCCAACATTAGATGAACTCAGTAACCACTGCCTGAGATTTCAGTGCTCAAAATGCGTGAAGAAACTTCCCATTTTGTTACTTACTGACAGAAGTTCTTAACTCTTAGATTGACACGTTCATTTAAAATATTTGCCGTGATGTAAATACTTTCCAGTTGTGACAGTGGGGTAAGGTAACTTCTTCACTTCTAACAGTCAATCACGAGTTTCAGAACAAGGTGTTAAATGAGATGGCAGTCATTGAGTATTGCTATTCTGTTCTGTATTTACTCAATCGTGAAGTACATAAATGGCTAAAAATGAGTTAAAAAACCTCACTTCTGGGAATTGCTTATTACCAACAGGGTAAGATAACTGTTGTTTTCTATTATGTGGAGAAAAAGCTCAAAATAATGCAGGATTTGGTTATAATTCTCTTGCTTCTTATGTAGAACCTTTTTGGCAAGATGGCAGACATACTGGAAAAAATTAAAAAGTAAGTTATCTGACATGAGTCTTTTTTTCCTCTTAAAACAAGACTTGACCAATGTCTGGAATGCTAGTAATAAAATTTTGTTTCTTTTTTTGTTTTCAGCTTGTTCATGTGGGTCCAGCCAGAAATAACACAGAAGCTCTACATTACTCTATGGGCAGCTTTTATTGCATCCTGCTTTTTGCCCTACAGGATTATTGGGCTTGCAATGGGTAAACGTAATAAATAATTGATCTGTTACAGTCTAGACTTAATGTGTTAAAACTTAAAGTGATCTTTAGAGGGAGAATTTTAGAGTTTAAGAAGGAAAACTCTGCATTAATAAGTAATGCAGTGTTTTAAAGTATTTTCATTGTGCTTGACGTTGTCGTGTGCATTTTTAAAACCATCTCTGGATACATAATATAACAGAAAAAGACTGGATAATGCATTCACTCCTTGAAGAGGGGAACTTTATGATGAGCTATTAGCAGAGGTCTTCAGACTGTCAGCTACAAGGCTTCCAGAAAGTCCTATATTTTGGGTTTTTTTTTTCACTCATACATCCTTGCAAATTAAATACGTGGGACCACACAGAAGGCACAAAAATGACAGGGTTGGGAAAAATGAAAGGGTTAATGGGACTCCTTATAAAACTTGGAAGATAGGCTGGACAAAATGAACAGATTACTGTGGGTGAAGTTGCAGATACTTAAACTCTCAACTGAGAATTGGGAAAAGAGGGTTTTTGCTATAGCATGAGACTGTCTTTTTTTCTAAGATATGAAACCACGTCCTGTGAACCAAGAATTCTCTTTTTTTTTTTTTTTTCATTAAAGTAATGATATGATCAAATCAGTATTACTTTTAGTGGCACTGAACGTCAAACTGTGTTAGCTTGAACATTAACATAGGTTTGCTTGATGTGACAATTGACTTAGATGTGTGAGGAATTATTTTTTTACACTGACTCTTAGAAAGAGATCTGAATTGCATTCAGTAAAGTTTTGAGAGAGTATTTCAAGCCTTTATTAATCTGGCAGAATGCAAGGAAATACCTTGTTTAAGATAAGAGGACATACTGACTGGAAGATAGAGTTTAATGTAGTACATGAGAGCCCTCTGTTGCCATTTAAATTCCTGCAGGGAGCTGCAGAGTTGAATGCTCTGGCACATTTTCTGTTTTGGAAGTATATAATGTTTTCAGAATGCTTCTGGCAACAAGGAATATATGTTTGTATTATTTTAATATTCTTCTGCATCATAAGAAGCTACGTAAGTGGTTTAAAAGAACTGAGGATGGGGAGGAAGGAATCTGTGCAGCAGAGGAAAAGAAAAATAATTTCTTGCCTCTGGAAGAAGAATCAAAATATTAAAACCAAGAGAATGGTTTAGCACTATGACTGAAAATACAGAATTTGGTTTCATTCATGAACTTGTTAAAACATGATCAAAGCAGTGATGTTCTTAATGCCCTTTAACGTGCCTACTAAAGTGACCTTTTTTTCAGGACTCTATGCTGGAATCAAATTTTTCCTTATTGATTTTATCTTCAAACGATGCCCCAGACTAAGAGCTAAGTATGATACTCCTTATATCATCTGGACAAGTCTCCCGACAGATCCTCAGCTCAAAGAAAGATCTAATGCTACAGTGTCGAGACGGGTAAGGGTAATAAATCTTTTTGTCCCTCCATTCCCAACATCTGAAAATCGGATCCCTTTCTCCCTCTCCCTTTTCCCCAGTGACTAGAGCACATTAAAAGGAAGGTTAATTAAATCCTACAAGTCAATGTTAGTTCTATTTTTTTTTAATTATTTTCATGATCCACAGAGTTTTTATATGGATTCTGTTTCTTGTAAGAAAGAAATCTATTATCAAAATGTGTATATAAATATACATATACTAGAAGTTGTATGAAGCTAAATACACAAAAATAACACCATCCATATTCATATAAATTTCTGTAACATACATTCTGTGTGATTTTATTGTCAAAATTTAGTCTTTTTGTATTCCCCTTCTCTGTTCTCAGACATTCTTTTTCAGTGGAAATTCAGCTGCTTTTGTAGATTGAAGACAGTTAGTTAAAAAATAAACAAAGGCTTGGATGTAATATGCAGCTTACTAATGGGATAAGCATTAATAGAAGTAATAAAGCAGTTTACAGATTTAGGCATTATGTCTTATGGTTATTTGTATTGGATGACCTTTTAACATAGTGGTGATAAATGACTTTTCACCATGTTGGTACTCCAACAGTAAATTTTTCTTTTGTTAAAATCTCATAGTTAAATCTTTAAGTGTTGCGTTTTGTGCATCTTTGCAAATTGTTTTGGGGCCTGACATGACAACTGAAAAGCAAGTCATGCTTTTCCATGTCCCTGATTTTGTCAATGTTTATTAGTTTAAAAATAAAAATAGTTGTAATAAAACTTCAGTCTAATCCCATTTTAGCATTTGCTTAATGCCTCTTATTACGGTATCTAATTACGTTCATGGAGTATCTGAGTACCGTCATAAGCTCACTGACTAAAATGTGCAGCACTTAGCAATAATTCAGCCTGGGTACACAACTGGAGAGCCAAAGGGTTAAACACATGAACCCTTGGTTGTTAACCTGTGAAGAAGTAGTATGGGGTTCTGGGGGTGATGGAGCAGCTGGTGGTAAAATAACTGCAGCATAATCTGAGTATTTCAGAAGGAAGTAGAAGAGAAAGACAGTCTCTGACAGAAAGTGAGTCTTTTGCTCCTATTTTCCAAGGGACAAGAGAGGTGAACGAGCGGTTGGATGGAGCTGTCCATAGCTGGTATTTCTCTTGCTTGCAGAAGATGGGCTTAAAGGTTTCTGTGCTTCTCAAGCTTACAGGTTATCATTCACATACTGTGGTGGTGGTGGCAGCTTCTTGCCAGGCGTCTTTAATCTGCCTTGGAGGTGGAAAAGCTATGAATTGCTGAACTTGAATCCATAAACTTAGAGAGTAATTATCCCTTCTGGCTTTTCCTCATGGCTTAAGTTTTGACAAGTAGACCAGAGTTTTAGTACTACTGTGCCTGACTTTATGGGCTTGGCTTGTCTGCCTGGAAAGGATGTGCATTATCTGCTTCTAAATGTCTTTGAAACCATTAACTTGGTCTCAGTAATTTTAGACAAACTTTCTTACCCCTTGAGAGATTTCTGGGAACCTCATAGTATAAAAAACAGGGGGGGTTGTATGAAAAAGTAAAAACCAAATAGGTTTTTCATTTTTTTCATAGAAAAGGCAGAGCCCAAAAACATGTAGTGCCAGCATATGTACATTTGCTTTGGCTTCTTATCGTTAAACAGCATACAAGACACTGTAAACCTAGACACAATGCAATATTCATTGCCTATACCACCACTTTGACCTTGTGTCCTTAGAGAACAATCGTATCAACAGTATCTGATGGGTAAAGGTTGTATGTCAAAAGCTGACAACAGATCAAGTGAAAAGGAATACCTCCAGATATTCCGGCCTCCAGGTTGCTGGTGATGTTTTTAGACAGTCAGGACTCTTCCAACATTACAAATCCAATCACTTCCAGTTAGATTTAAGGCTTACCAAAATTGGATGCAATGCTTTTCTTTTGAGTAATCGACCATAGGTTGTCTCAAGCCTGGGTGCTCATGGATAAATTAGCTGATTTTTTTTTTAAGGGTAGAAGAGGAAACATTTCTCATATCTTCAGCCACTGGATGGGATGTGGTACTGAAGTTTAAACACCTTTTTTTAATCTCTTTATATAACGGGTAGGTAGGAATCAGTGTAGCAGAGAGCAGGAATAATCCTCATGCCAGCACAAAATGCATTAGACCTCTTGCCCTGACTTTTTTACATTTTGGGGCATGGAGCTTCATGCGGTTACGTGCATATGGAGCCAAATAACTTGTCCAAGAAAGCCTTCAAAAAATTCATCTGATCTTTACTTGCACAGAAATTTTTGGAGAAGCTGTTATTTTCATTGGTTCCAGGGGCTCGATCATTGCTAAGAGCACCGCAGAAGGGCAGTAACTGAAGCAATAGTACAGTTATCATTCAACCATTTACTTTCTATGTCAACTTTCTTTATTCTTTTCCTCCAAGGCATCGTTGTATTACAGTTACCCTAAAAGCTGGATGGTAAATACCCTATGCTGTGCCTGTTTTGTCAGTCTGGTTTCTAGTCAGCAATTGCAGTGCGCATTTTTTCATTTGCTTTGGATTTCTTTTGTAAGCGCTAAATCCTGCGAAGTGTTGAGTGTTGCCAACTTACGTGCAAAAAAAGCCAGCAGAGGCTAGTTGGCCTGCGACAGCATTGGGCCTTTACAGAAGAAGGGCTTAGTCTGGAGCTTGCATGTTGTCAGTTTGCCAGTTGTTTAACTGCACGTGTATGGTAAGGCTAAGAACAGAGCTGTTAATGCTTCGATGACAAAAGCCAGGCTTTGGGATCGTGTGGTGCCCCACCAAGATGAAAAAGCAAACGCAGGCAAGCTTTCCAGAAGAAACTGCCTGCTGTCCTTCCAGAAGCAAGACTTGTTTGCTAGGGCAGTCTCCAGTGGTTCAAGAGCTCTGCTTAAAAGTAGATTTTACTCAAGTACTTCGGTTTTGAGAACTCCATGCTGTCTTCCCCCCCTTTCCCTGCCGCGTCAAGGATGCTGACAACCATTCCAGTTTTATTTCACATGTCAACACTCAAAATTCAGTGTAACTTCAAAGCAAAGGAAAGATCAATGGCTCTAATGCAACCTGAATAAATTGAACTGGTGTGCTCTAACCACTGATAACTTTTTTTTAATTGCATTCATTGTGTGTAGTCTTTTGGTTTGTGAGCAAGATCTTGCAGTGTCACTCAGTTCATGTTTTATTCTATGTATTATACTGTTAAATAGACTTCACTTTTTTCTTTTGTCACTGTCACATTTGTGTTGTTTGTTTCTTTTCCTGCTAGCTGTCAGGGCATGAAAAGGTATGGATCATAGTGTGGAAAACTTCCTTTCAATTTCAGCATTTGTATTCATAATGAGCTTAAGCAGTTTTCTGTGGCTTTTTCTTTGTTTGCTCTTTTTTCTTTCTAAACTTATTTTGTGCAATAATATTTTGTGCTTGGTCTGTCTCTTGAAGACAAGCCAAGTACTGGTAATGTATTAACTGTTCCTAGTCCTACTAGTATAATAATTGGAGCTGTGTGCAGTGACTTATCTGTATCTAATCAGATATACCTTTTACTGCAGAAAAATGGTATTTTAAGATAGGTGCATTTAGCACCATGCACTTTCACCCCTGCAAAGGGTGTCCATCAAAGGGCAGCACTTTGAAAGACTATGTTCAGATAGCACATTAGACTTTTGTGCTATAGCAATAGTACAGTGCAATAGTCCCCAGTTAACTTTATTAAGTAGTTAATGAAAATTGTTGTGTTATGGATTTATTTTTATTTCTTTTTTTTAGGAAGAGTAGTTAGCCAAGTTATTTTTAAGAGCTCACCTTAAATGTTGCTGTTCAAATTTTGGTATCATGTTTATTTTTCTGCAGCTTCAAACAGCAGCATCCAGAAGTTACGTGGGCTCAAGCGCCCCAACTGGAATAAGCAAAGATGAAGACACAAGTCGTTTTCATACCACCAAGAGGGGGAATTTCCATGAAGTTTTTAACCTGTCAGAAAATGAGCGTCCTTTGGCAGGTATTATGCAACAGGGAGGCTACACTAGTATTTTCTAAAAAGCCAAGGATAGGTTAAAGTTGAATTCCCTTTGTGCAATCTTACAGGTATAAGCTTTTGATTAAAAAGACTTGCTTTAAAGCAGGATGAATGGGGACGGTCTCTTTCATTCCACATCCTTGCAGTTCTTTGAAAGGATGGACAGCCTGGCATGCCTTTTGTGGTAATGCAAGTGGAATAGGCAAGTTAAAGGGAATAATTGTGTCAGTGGTTTTTGTTTTGTGTTTTTTTAAAAACAGTGTCAAAACAGATGTTCTGGTATCTAAAAACACCTTATTTAGGCTTTTCTTTATAAACATGTCTAGTTTTAGGTACCTAAAGTTTAATTTTCAGTGATTTCTGCTGTTTTATAAGGAAACTGTTGGGGCTAATGCATGTCTGTCTCTCTTTTTCTTAAAGCAAGATTTCTTGTTATGACTTTTTCAGTGTGTGAAAATGGCTGGCGCTGTTGCTTGATAAACAGGGATAGGAAGATGCCTACAGACTACATCAGGAATGGAGTTCTTTATGTCACAGAAAAGTGAGTCATTGCACTCCACACATTTCTTAAGAGGGAAACTTAACAGGCATTAAAAAATCGAATCTAAAAGTAATCCTTTAACAATGTTTTGAAACAAAAATACCTTTTCATGGTGGTTTAAAACCTCAAGAAAGCACCATAATGAGGGAGAGCTGAATCTAGGGTGTGGTAAGGCTTAACAAATGTGGTTTTGCCTTGGAAAGGCTTGCATAGGAATGGAGAGTAGCTCTATATAGTTAGCTGTTAGTCGCTGCAGTTCTTGATGTGGATAACATACTACCTATATACAAAAAAGAAACCTAAAAGCTGAGTGTATTTGGAGAATTGTGATCAATGGTTATTTGGCAAATACTCTTAGTTCCTTTTTTTTAAAGGAAACTGATTGTATAGCTTCCTTGAAACAGTGTGCAATAAAAAGAACATAGAAATTCAAGCCTTGGTTTCAAAACTAGTACTTGATTTTTTATTTTGTTTTAATCCTTACTTGCCCCTCAGCCTCCCAGAGCTGACTAGCTATCCTCACTACTGTTTGGGTCTCTTGCACTGAAATTCCTTTGGAGTGTAATGAATGGAAGTAAAGCTCATCTGTATGCAATGTCACCTAGTGATGGAGAGTACTCTCCAGCGTTTGGAAATCTGAGCTTTTGTTTGCATCACAATAGCATGAAACTAACACAGTGTTTTCCATTAATCTTCTTTTAGAATGGTAAAAGGTTTATAAGCCTTTTGAGACTTGGTATTTCAACTGTTAAAGGATATACGAGCTTCCTGTGTCTTTAAAATGCTTGTAAGGTTTAACCATTCAGTGCAGTAATATAAATACAAGATTTTGTGTGTGTGTGTTTGTGTACATACTGTGTGTTCTGGGCTTTCAGACATGTTAGCTGGTTGCTAGAATTTACAAACGTTTGCTCAAAATTAGAAGCCATAACTGAATTGTGTGCCTCATTCTTTTTTTTGAAGCTGGTTTTAACCTGTGAGATTTCAAACTTCAGAAGTGATAAGATGTTGAGAGCTTTGTTTTAGAATACTGTATCAAAATGAGGATTTTCTTTCCTTGTCTTCAGTTACTTGTGCTTCGAAAGCTCCAAATCTGGCTCATCTAAAAGAAATAAAGTTATAAAGCTAACGGATATAACAGATATTCAGAAGGTATGTCTGATTTGTGTTGCAAATAGGGGCGAAAGCTCGTTTTTTATGTTCAGCTAGTCATGTTTTGCTTTTCTGCTTAAGTTAGTTTGAAAAAGCATGCAGTTGATAATTTTTATAAGTAAAATGTAATTCTTTGATCAAGAATATTTCCCAGAACCGCTTGTTTAGCCATTTGGACTCAAACTCACTATGACCGTAAAAACACAGTAGTTTACTAAACCCTTACACTTCTGAATTATTTTAAAATTAAATTTGTGTTGATTCTTAACTCCTGCATTGGCTAGAGCTGTGTAGGCTTTAAGATTTATTGTTAGCAGGAATTGTGTAATACTAACTTCAGTTTGTGTGTTGATATCAGTAGATGCACTATCTTAAAAGTAGATGCCTCAGAGGGATGAGGCATTATTGTCAGTGGAGAAAGGTAAATCATTAGAATTGTTAGACTGGATCAGGCTGGAGTTTCATCTAATTAGGATCCCGTCACTAACAGAGGCAAGAAGTGGATGGTTGGAAGCATGGCAAGTACAATGTGATCCTTTCTCTGGTTGAGTTTTATCAGCCTGCAGTCACCAACAGCTTTATTGGTGCTTTGCTTCACTCTATATGGCATTTAATGTCACTTTTTGTTACCCTGTCCGAACTTGTCCTACTCTTAAATGCGGCACCCCTGCTTTCTACTACATCATGTGGCCGTGAGTGCCACAGATTAAATCACGCTGTGCAAAGAAACACCTCAGTCTGGTGTCTACTGCTTAAGTACCTCCAGATTTTCAAATTAGTTCCTTCTATTTATATCACATGTCTATTAAGCTGACACTTATGCATAACTTGAACATTCCTGTTGGAATTCATAATTCATGTTGATGGATTTTAAACATCATACTTCAAGTGTATGCTGGCTCATTGTTTAGTAGGTCTACTGCCATAAAGGTCCTTTTGCATCTGTGTAGTTTTTTTAATGAAGATGAGACTGGGATCATGCAGCCAGGCATAAAAACATACTGTGCCTGGGTTTATTTAGGGGTGGGGAACACAGGCCAGACTCAGGGTCTCTTCTCCCTTGGGGATATTCCCCAGTTCAGCCAACTGTATTCCTTAGCATTACAGACTGACTTTAAAAAAAAAAACCACACAAAAAAACCCCACCAAAAAACCCCACAAAACAAAGAAAAACCAAAAAACCAAACCAAAAAACAACCTATACATACCCCATTTGTCTATTTAATTTTGAAAAAGAAGCTTTTTCTGGTCTGCTTGCTGCTCCTTTAAACAGTGGATGAATGTTACTTCTAGGGAAACCTCTCGGTGGTACTCACAAGCACACTCTCACGTACAGATATACACGTAGGGCCAGGGTGTACTACCTGCCCGCGCTGTCCAGCAGCCAGCGTGGTCCCTGGCATCGCGGCTGGGCCAGCTCCCACGTGCCGTAGTGGTACCGGGGTGCTCCGTTTAGGGCCCGGGCCGGTTCTGGCAGGCAGGCTGGGTGCCACCGCAGCGCATGGGAGGAGGAGAGGCAGGTTCTCGCAGTATGGGCAATGCTATACCCATTGACTCCAGAGTCAAAGAACATCGTCTGGCCTCCTCTTGTTTTTAATAGAGGTCTGCTAGTTGTGGCTGGGAGGATACACCAGTGACGAGTTGTGTAACCTTCTCAGCACCTTTTGCAATTGTTCGGTATGTAAGATACCTTTGGTCTGGGTTTTGTTTTTTTTTTCTTTTTAGTATAAAGTGCTCTCTGTTCTCCCGGGATCAGGGATGGGTATTGCTGTATCAACACCATCTACGCAAAAAGTAAGTAACTGGCTGTATCTGTATTGTTGTGCTTGACTTCGTGCCCTTTTTGTCTTCCTTCGCTGGCTAGCACTAACATAAAGGCTTTTTTTTTTTTTTTTTCCTTATTCCAGTGGTGTGGTTTTTTGTTTGGTTTGGTTTTGGTTTTTTTAATTCAGTTGTCTGTTATTCAGTATATTTGGCTTCAGAATTTTAATTTAAACATTTCACTTATTCTACTGCATCTGGGCTATTTTACTGTAACACTTCAGAAAGACTTGCTTCATTATTTCACTACCTCCATTGACCATTCCCCAGTATCCTTCATCAGGAGCATGGGGGCTGCTCTGCTGTGCAGTCTGGAACGAAAAGCTGATGGCTTGAGAGTATCTGTGGGTGAGGCAGTTTTGGAGTGGAAAGGCCTGACCCTCAGATGTGGTTTTCCTGTTTCAGTCTTATGTTGCTGAAGATTTAAGCTTCTCTAAGCCTCAGATACCCTCTGGGAGACTGTAGCTTTTCATAACATATGACTGAACCTTATTTTAAACTAATCACCTATAAACTTTTCTCAAAGTCACATGACCATTGTACCAGGCTTCCTATTTGCCGTTTGGTATTGAGAAGTACTTCTTAATTACGAGGTTGAAAATATTCATCTACCTAAATAAATATTCTATGAGCCAAAACAAAGAGGCACTGATAAAGATTTCTAAAAATCTTTAACGGAGGCAGAGGTCAATCAGGAAAACATCATGCACTGTGTGGATGGAGAGGAAAGAGAGTTGAAATATTCTCCATTGCTAATACTCTGTGCAGTTGCATTTTATGCCATAGTTGTTTTAAGAAGAGGAGAAGTGAAAAAAACTTAGAAATTCTGCCATATATCCAAGGATTTAGTAGAGAAAAAGATTCTTATGTCTTTATTAATGCACTTTAAGTAGAGTTCATCTCCTGTTGCTATTGATTTGGCCAAAACTATACCTAGGGGAAGATTTTTCATTTCCAGACTGACATGATCTTTTTTTCTGTCATTTAGCCTTTGGTGTTTGGTGCCATGGTACACAGAGATGAAGCTTTTGAGACAATTTTCAACCAATATGTGAAGATAACCTCTGCATCATCAAGCAGTGAGAGCTAGTATCTTATCTTAGAAGATCTAAAGGAAACTTTCTTATTTTACAACTTGGTAGTGAAAAAAAATGAACATCCTCATCTATTTTGCAATAATTTTTCTTGTCTGGTGGTTTATATTCTATCTGTTACATAAATCAAGTGTATTTTATATATGCCTTCATGTTTGTTTTTAAGGTTTTTGTAAAAAAAAAACAAAACAAAAACAAAATGAAACAACAGTGAAAGTGCTATCATCACTATTAGCCTTGCACATTAAGCACTTTTAATGTTTATTTACTGACATTAAAAGCTGGGAAGATACTTGGAGAACTGACTAAATAACAAAGTGAAACAGATTGATCCCTTTAACTCCACTGATACCACTAGGGATACATTTGTCCCTTTATCTTAGTTGTTTTTGCCCAATATGTGAGAATGATGACTGCAGCAGCCTGAAGTCTCTTTCTTTAGCTCAGAGTTTTTAATTGAGTTCTTTATTAAAACTGATAGCAACACCAGGGAAGTATTATCATCTTAATATTTCCATATTTAAAACTGCACTTAAAATAACTCCTCCCTGCTAATTACTGCATTGCAGAAGGATGTTTTACTGGTTTGGTTAGGTTCCTGCATAGACATTTAAATTGCTTGTACAGTGAAATGGAGGAAAAAGTTTGTAACTATATCTTCCTTTCCTAATTAACCAAAGTAAGAGGAGGGAAGGCAGGCAGATACTTTTTATAAAAGAGGGCACCAAAATGTTGTTCCTAAAATGTTAGGCATCGTATATTTGTATTTCTGTAGATACTTGCCATAGAAGGGCTCAACTATTGTACATGTTGTATGTACAAGGTGTTTGTATGTTAATGCATTGAAGACTTGCAGGCTTTCTTTGTTGGGGGAGGTGGGAATAATTAAATTAAACTGAGATATGACTTTTTTTTTTTTAATTTGGCTTTTCTCTTGAGTTACCTTGTAATAAAATAACACTACAATATAGCAGCTGAAAGCACTAGTTCCTTTTCAAAGCATAGTTTGAGGGGTATTGTTATGTTGCTGTCTTTCCCCTTGCAAAATTAAATTTTAGTAACAATTAAACCCAACTGCCAGGTAAAACAGGAAGGCTGTGCTCCTTCTCTAAACTCTCTCAGGCCTTTCTAGCAGCAAAGCACATATTGACCTTTGTCTTTAATATTAGAAAGCTTTTATACTCTATATAATAGCACCCATCTGAGAGGTTTAGAATTCTCATGAAAGCACACTAGGAGTTATGCCAAGCCTTCCAGTATGTCTTTTCCTTTGCTATGTCTTTTGAGTTGAGTAGTATGGGTGTCTCCAGACATTATATGAATGCCCCTCCCAAAAAGCAATGGAGATACAAATTCTTATGTAAAAATGGGACTTAATTTCATGGATTTTTCTTCTCTTTTTTTAAACAGGAATTTTCTTTCTTTATAGGGAAAGGGGGAAAATGAGAGGAGACAAACACCAAAGGGTGTTTAACTCTTAGCACAGTTTTTGATTAAAGTCTCTCAACAAACGCAGCAGTTAGGAAAAAGGTGGCAGTCAAACTGTACAAACCTTATTTCAGTCTGGCCATGAAGAGGCATGATATGAAGAACTTAATATGAACTTGATATGAAGAAATACTGTTGAATACTGTGATTTGGTTGGGTGGTGTAAAGTGAAACGCTGACAGGGTAAAACTCTGTGGCCTGGGTGGAAATGTGAACAAGAATGGGGGAGAATCCACCATAATGGCTAAAATGCTATTTTTGAGTTCTCCCTTTAGAGTAGCACTTGAACATGTCTTTATGTGACCTGAAAAAGGGATGCATTTCTAAGACCTCCTTACGTATGGTGTAACTCAGGGCCTGAAAACTTAAAATACAAGTGAAGCTGGTGGGAAATCCATTTTGCCACCATCTAATATGGATGTAGCTTGACAGTTTATGGTTTCTTCACTTTACACATGCAGGTTTTATGTTTAAAAATCCTTGATCTTAAATTTTTCTCATCAAACCTACTTTAAAACCAATTAATCTCTTTTTGTAATTGCTGTGTATTACCATTTGGCTTTCCTTTCTAGAAGCTTCCTTGAATAGTAAGTGTGACTAACAAATAGGCATTAAAATCGCTTAATGTTATATAAATCTTAATCAGATTCATTCATTTTGTCTTAAGAAGAAAAATCCCTTGGGTGTGTTTAAGGTTATCCTTTTTTTTTGAAGAAACAGAAAACTATATTTTTTACAGAGAGCATGGTCTTTTTCTTATTTTTGTATCATTTTTCAAATGTAATTTATACCTTCACTCTGATCATAACAGCAGTTTCAGTAGGAAATCAGTTGACTTGCACTTATTACCTCCTCCCCCTCCCACCCTTCACTGGTTGACCCTTGTATACAGGGTTGTCCTAGATTCTGGTTCCTGGAGGAGCTATAGGTCTGATGTTGATGGTGCCGGGACAATTAACCATACCTAGGCTTCGGAGAGGGAGAAAAGAAGTCATTATCCTTTTCCCAGACTGAAATGCCTCATGCATACAATATGCTCTTAAAATTTTTTTTCTGGACAAAGAAATTAGAAACTTCTTATAAAATCTAACGTGTTGATGTTTGAAATTAATCTGCACTTTAACAGTGTGAACTTAAAAGTTAGTGATTCTTAAAGCAGTAAACCTAGTGCAAATTGCAATGCAACATTGTTTCACTCTAATATATAGAAAACAGACTGGATTTTTTTTTAAAAATAGAGTTGTAATATAACTGACAAACATCTATGTACATATTTTGCAAAGTTCACTTTACGTTGGGTTGTCCAAGTTCCTGCTACATTAACTGCTCCTGTGGTGTATGTGACTTCAGAGACGCTAGAAGGTAACCTTGGTGTGTTTACTCATGCTTTTCCTCCTGCTACGCTCTCCCAGGTTTGGAGGGCAGAAGGGGATGGACAGTGAGTAAATATAAACTTGACTTGTATAATTACACTGAAGCTCTAACCTTAAATTCCAATCTTCCTACGCAGTCTTGCAGTATAGCCTGCTGTACTTCAATAACAGGATGGGTCGTACCACTTAATGTAAAGTGCTACTTTCTAATAGCAGAAAGTGATGTTCTTGTCATTCTGTCTGTCTGCTGTTTATATTTGCAATTCTGTTGATGTCTGTGGTTCATTGCTGGATCATTCACGTGTAATTGGATTTAACTTCTTTAGAAGTGCATTGGTTAGTTTGAGTCCCTTTTAAAGAGGAAAAAAAAAAGGGAGATGAAAACTGACTGCTTTAATTCTTCATTGGTGACCATTTAAATTCAAAAGGCAAAAAAAGACAAAATATGAAATCATGCCTTTCTGTGCACTGTAGCTTTTGTGAGGCAAGATTGAATGAAATGAGCTATTTATTAGCAGCAACATCACACAGGACGCCAGCAGCATTGTTCCTGCAGACAAAGAGAAAAGAGATTTTATCCAATCGTGAAGAGATGAAAGGATGTACTTTTTTTTGGCTACTTAAACTTGTATTGAAAACACTGGTAGTTTTTATTGAATTCTGTACATTTTGGCAGATGTTTAATTTCTACTAATCATTGAAATATAATGGATGTTAAAATTTTTATGTCTGAAGTTTGAGTCTATATTTTGAAGTTGTAAATAATTCATTATCAGTGTAACTTTTGTTTGACAAAAGACTTATACTGTATGAAGAATTGAAATAATGAAATGATTTGCTCTGTACATTTTTTAAGAAAATCTTGTTTGTTTAAAAAGTCTTGTATAAATTATAATTTTTATTTAAATAAACCTAAAAATGCTTTGTGCTAACACTTCTTACAAACTTTAATAACTTATCTATCAAAACTATGCCTGATTTCTTGGAACGAGGTGAGTTAGTGCTTTTGGGCAGATTCATAGCCACCTCAAGTCTGTCACTGGGGGGAAGGTGAGTGGGTTTTGTTTCTCACTGCTTTTGAAGCCCAAGGAGCATGGTTTTGTTTTAAATAATCCTGTTAATGTATTGGAGACTGGATGTACATTTTTGGTTAGATCTTTGTCTATAAGTACATCTGTCACTTTGTAATCATACAGTTAATTTAAGGGATGAAAAAGCAAGGAGTGATTTCTAAGATGCTGCCACTGCAGGAGGGCACGGATAGCACAAGACTGTTCATAGGAGTACTAACTCATACCTGCCAGAGTTCGTCCATGAAACAAATAGCCACAGACTGTGCTACAGGTGGGCACTGGAGGTGAGGATAAGCCTTTTTCCACCCCTGAGGTGTGCAGGAGGTGTGCTCAGCAGAACCGTTTCACATCCAGATGTGGCGGCTGTTCTGCAGCATCTGCGGTCACGTCAGCTCATCGCTTGCACCAACATGTGCCTAGTTGCTGAGCCTTTGGCTGTGCTTCTGTGTAACCTGTAACGCTGCTGGGGATAAATGGCAGGGCTTCTTTATCCATGGTGTGTGCCAGGGAGGCTCGCTGCACAGCACTGGCTTTCACCGGGTACACAGGCCTTTGTCTGCAGTTAGGAACGTAATACCAGGAGTGAGCTGCCTGGTCATCTAATCCAGACCTATTTGTTTGCCTCTACAATACTCCTTTCTGTGTTTTGCTCAGCTGAAATAGATCAGTCTGGGACAGATCTTCCAGTCATGAATGCGTGCTGCTCTATTTATTTCAATGTTTAGTTTTTTCATGATGGCAGGGATGCATCTGGCAATGCAGTGGTGCTTTTAAGCTGGTACTTTATGTGTTCTGACAATACTTAACTTCAGACTTGTACTACTTTAATGCCTTTTTCATTAAATATTTGTACAAGATGAGTTGCATCTGCAGCAGCGCTCACAGGGATTGGATTCAACCCTCCCTGCTTGAAGCCTGGTAGAAGGAGGGTGTAGAGCCTGGAATTCTCATTTCAGCCGTAGACTGCATGGCACTTGGGAGGAGGGGATGGTCGTTCATGCCATTCATGAAAATGCCACTTGCTTTCTCAAACTCTCTTTAGCAGCCCATGAAGATAATAGAATTGAATTGAATGAGCCATTTACCTGCTCTTTGTGTAACTCTAATGCCTGTGCAAGGAAAGGAGGCGTGCTGGTGGTGGTCTGCAGAGTGTCGCCAGCACATGCTGGCTTAATGCAGAGAGGCAGATAAAAGCATGTCTTGTGCAGTACCTGGATTAACAGTAAAGGACAGTGACAGTGTTCAGCTTGCAGAAGCAGAG